CTACCACTGGCTCTCATCCCCCTGAGCATATCCAACCTGACCTGAAGCCAAGTGACGCTGTCACCACACTTCCCTCCTCACACCAGCCCAGTCATGGCAGGGGCGAAATAACTATCTGATAAACCAGTTATTCAACTGGTGCGCTGACAACTCAGTAACTGGAAACTGCATTGATTAGTGAAGGGCTGGTCGGTGCACAGATCCAGGGGTGGAGGCTGCCGAGCTTCAAACAGGGGCCACACCAGGGGAGGTGGTCAGGGGAGAGAAGCAGCAAAGCTCACCCCAAGAAGGGCTTTGAAGAGCTCAGAGCACAGCAAAGGATGGGCTCTGGAGACTGGAAGGGAAGTTCTAGTGCACACCACAGCTGGATTCTGGGGGCCCTGGGAGCCAGCCCAGGGTGGAGGTTTGCTGAAGTGCTCTGCGCACCCCTCCTAATCACACCGCTCCTCAGCAGCCATCCAGCACCCAGAAAGATGAGGGTGCCACTGGGGCCCCAGGTCATCAGTTTCACACTAGTTAGAGTTAGAGGCCTGGACATCTGAGGAGCATGAAGTGACAACCCCCAATGAGCGTTTACTGGTGTCTCTCTCTATACAAGTGGGTTCTCTAACATTCAACTCATCACAACCAGCTGTAGAGATGGCCTTAGCAGTATACCTGGGCCTACAGCTAAATGAGTGATGTCAAGGGCTGCGCTGCACCACAGTCCCCGCCCCTGAAAAGGGCAGCTGATTGAGGCGGCTCTTAATTCCTCCTAAGCTACATCTCAACACCCTGTCAGAGGCCATCCCACGAAAGCATGCAGCTGATCCTCTGTTGAAGGGTGAGAGGCGGGGACCACCGCCTCCTCCACGTGGTCAGGCCACACTGGCAAGATGAGGGGGATCCACTGCTTTGGTCCTACTGGCCACTTTTAAAGCCCAAGAATTTGTCCTTCAAGCTATGTCACCCACTAAAGGGAACATAAAGGAGGGGCAGGGCTGTCTGCAGTTGAACTAGAAATCAGACATCAGGGCTGAGATGGCTTTAAAAGGCCATTCAGTGCTCACTTTGGCGGCACATATACTAAAATTGGAAAGACACAGAGAAGATTAGCATGGCCCCTGCGCAAGGATGACACGCAAATCTGTGAAGCGTTCCATATTTAAAAAAAAAAAGGCCATTCAACACAACCTCTTTTTACAGGTTGGAAGACTGAGGTTCAGCGAGGGACAGCAATTTCTATTCACCAGGAGGCAGCAGCTTGTAGCCATGTGTTAAGGAGTTTAAGATCAAGACAGACAGACATGCACAACTGAGGACAGATAACAGCAGTCATGGCCTGGCAGGTGACACTGATGGCATCTCCACTTCAGCTCTGCCTAGCCTTGGCCTCCATCCCTTCAAGTGAACTTGGAGCAAATTAGTTAAAGGTGCCCTTCCCACCAGCACACAGCTTGACAAGCCCCAGGTGTCCTGGACACTCACTGGGGGCTCATGCACGGGGACAATATACACAACTGTGCAGGGCAGGCCAGAGTATGGCAGCTGCATAGGAGATCCTCGAATGCTTGACTTTTCTTCAATTCCCCCATTATTAGTCTGCCCTCTGTTAACTTATAAAAATATTTCTTAATATCAAAGGGTATCACAAGCCATCATCCTCTTCTTCCATGTAAAAAAAAAATTCAGTTCTCAAAGGAGGGAAGGCAGGCTAAAAGGCTAGCAGGTAATGGTGAAGATATCCATTCATCCATGCTCCAAAATCTTGGGCAAGGGTGGTGCTGCCCACACCACATATAGAGCCCCAGGTTTCTTTGCCTTCATAAACAGCCTGTTCCCAGGGAGGCAGAGAGGAGGGGACCAGTGTTCAGTCAAGTAGGCTCCAGGTTTTCCACACCATCCCTGGGCTTGGTAACTTTCATGAGGTGAGTTAAAAAGCCCACACTTGCATTTAGTTATATGCTATTCACAGGCAGGTGTTCACACAGGTAACCAAATCCCCCAGACCTGCCTCTCATTCTGGAATCCAAATTAGATCAATGGTGCGGCATCCAGCTCCTTGGGTCCCTCCTGCACTCCTACTCTGGAGGCCACCAGGCATCTAGAGTCCTTCCCCAGTCCTATACATCTCTCACCCCTCCCCGTGTCAATGCCTCTACCGGATCTGAGTCTTGGCCCAAATCATTTTCTGTGCTGATCTCTCTTCCCGCCTTGTCCCTCCATGCTGCTTTCTGAAGGGCCTTTCAAAACCTTGCACAGGTTCCTTGAAGCCTTCAGAATTGGGGCCAACCTCCATTAAGCCTGTCTTGGCTTAGCCCTGTCCATCTACTCCTATCACACACATTAACCAGGCCAAGCACACAGCGCTCTCTCACACAGGGGCCATGCCATGCCTTCCCATTGTGCCCACAAGCCTCCCTCAGACTGAAATGCCCTTTGCACCACCAGCCTCAATCCAACAGGTCATCTAGGTCAACAAGCCAGCCAGGGGAGTCTGGAGAATGCAGGCTGAGGCCAATGCCCTTCACGGGACCCTGCCAAAGAGGCAAGAGGCTGTGGTTTGGGAACTCTGATATGGACACCAGGTAGGATATCCTTTACTCTAGGTCTTCAAGCTGAGTAGACCATGTTCAGACTCCTGTCTCCATCTTCCCCAGGACCTCTATGGCAATTGCCTGTCATCCTCTGCCTCCCTCCTGCCCTCTTGGTAGGAGAGACACCATCACCTTCCTCTGTGTATCCTTCACAAGCTGAGTCAGCATGGGGTACAGGTTATGGGGTGAAAACCCAGAAGATGTCTTCTTGTGTTCAGGCTGAGCTCCCTGTTGGCTAGGTCCATGTTGCTCCTGGGGTCCCTTTCCCCAAAGAACATAAAGCTGTTTCTGCGGTTGGGGGGCAGGGTTTCTATGCCCCTACAGGAACTGATTCTTGACCCAATCTCAGAAACACTGCCTTTGCATGTAGGCAATTGACTAGAGGCTTCCCTAAGACAAGAAGGGGGGAAAAAAGACGGTGAGATTTGGTAACCAGGAGGGTCACAACAGAGGTCTGACAGGCAGCCTAGGCTCCCTCAACAGAGAACAAGGGCTGTGATAGGTCAGGCATGTTCTGTGGTTCCACACCTTTCAGAATGACAAGCCCTCGTGGAGCAACCAGGATGGGAGTGTCTGGGGGAGTCAGGACCCATCTGCTATCCATATGGCTGCTATCATAGGAAACTGGTCACTATGCTTTGTTATTTTGCCCTATTGATAGAAGGCTTTGGCCCCCTCATCTTCGATACATCTAAACTACCTATAAGGCTTTACTTTTCAGCCTTACTGTATATTTAATATTTGTAAAGTATAATGGGCTGAATTGTGTGCCCACTCCCAATTCATATACTGAAGTGCTAATCCACAGTATCTCAGAATGTGAGGGTCTTTAAAAACATAATTAATTAAATTAAGGTCATAGGAGGTGGGCTGTAATCCACCATGACTCCTGTGCTTATACGATGAAATTAGGATGCAGACATACTCAGAGAAGGAAGACCACATGAAGACAGGGAGGAGGGTGGCACCCATAGCGCAGTGGGTAGGGCACTGGCCACATACACCAAGGCTGGCAGGTTCAATCCCGGCCACCGCCTGCTAAAACGACAACTGCAACAAAAAAAATAGCCGGGCGTTGTGGCAGGTGCTTGTAGTCCCAGCTACTTGCTGAGGCAAGAGAATCGCTTAAGCTGGGGTGGTGCCTGTGGCTCAAAGGAGTTCAGCACCAGCCCCATATGCCGGAGGTGGTGGGTTCAAACCCAGTCCTGGCCAAAAATTGGGGAAAAAAAAAAAAAAAAAAAAGAATCGCTTAAGCCCAAGAGTTTAAGGTTGCTGTGAGCTGTGATGCCACAGCATTCTACCAGGGCGACAGCTTGAGACTCTGTAAAAAAATAAAAATAAAAATAAAAAGACAGGGAAGAGATGGCCACCTGCAACCAACCCTCTTGGACTTCTTGATCTCAGACTTCTGGACCCCAGAAGTGAGAGGGAACAATGTTATTTCGGCCACCCGGCCTGTGGTACTTGGTTATGGCAGCCTGAGCAGGCTAATGCAGTAAGGCTTAACTTCACTTTTATTTTTGTTAAAATAAATGGGCCTTTCTAATATTTTCCTCTCACCCCCTACTGTCACAAGGAACTTATGGCCTGCTGAATTTTAAAGCACTGGCCGCAGGCTAGAGAAAATGAGGGTTCTGGTAGCCTCTGCACACCCCTCCCCTCGTGGGCCTGAGTGGATCTGGAAGAAATCTGAGAAGCCAGAGCCCCCAGTTCCAGAGGGACAGTAAGGACCAACCCCTGGGTTGGACACCTCTCTAGCTCCAGTTTCCCAGACTCACCTAATCATTGCCCCAGCTGCCTCGGCCCCACCCTGAGAGTTGTACCATGGGGCCCTGAATTCTGTTTTGTTAACTGAGCCAGGCGATTCTCAGGACCATAAGCGTTTGAGAAACCGCAGTCCAGGCCATTCCACACCAGAAGATGGGCGTGTAGCTAGAGCATGCGTGCGAGCGTGCGTGCGGGAAGAGGCCTGGGCTGCACGCCTCCCACCCCAGCACTCCCACCTGCAGCCTGGTCCCTGCCTCAGCTGCAGGCTGTCAGGGTCCGCCGATGCTGTCATCCATCTACATTTTGCACCCCGCGCTCGTTCTTTTAAACAGGAGGATGGAAAAAATGCGTTCTGTTTCCCTCGTTAATAACTTTGCCCTTCTTTTTTTCCTGGGTGTGGCCCGCCCGTGACTTTTCTCTCAGGCTCTCAGCACTTAACTGAAGCCCAAGTTCCCCGCGCCCACCGCAGCCGGACCAGAGGTGCGGATGCGATGAGGGACGCCGCGGCGATGGCACCGCCACCTGCAGGGTCTGCATGCCGTCCCGCTGGGGAACTGGGCGTGCGCGCCCCAGATCCCAGGCTGGCTACAGGTTCCTTCCAAACCTCGAAAGGCATCTGCCCCACCTCCGACTCCCGCCCAGCTCAGCTCAGCTCACCCAGGCAGGCAGGTGCAGGCCCCGCAGTTCGCGGCTGATGAACTGGCGCTCGTTGTCCAGAAATTCGAAGGCGGCCTCCAGGCGCCCGAGCTTCCCGCGGCGATTCCTGCGCCACCACATCCACAGTAGGGCGCCGATCAGCAGCCAGGTTATGCTGAGCCCAAGATAGCCGGCTAGGTAGACAGGCCCCAGGTAGAACAGCACGCGCGCCACGAAGGTATAGAGCTCGGGCAGCAACTGGCTGGCCAGCCGCAACTCGGGGCCCGGCGTGCGCCTCGTTCCCTGAGCGCCGGGGGCACCAGGGGCGCGGGGCTCCTCCGCTTGCATCTCTTGCCCTTCCTAAGAGCTTCACCCGAACTCGGGTCCACGCGCTTCTACTCCCAGGCACATCTGTCCTCCAAGCGCGAGGACCCGTCGCCAAGCCACCCCTGCTCTGCTGGGACTCGCCGGCTCCGTCTCAGCCCTCTAAGCTCAGGGCGCTCCTGGAGCTCGACGTCTGGGCGCGCACAGAGCAGCTGGGCTTGGCCCCAGCGCAGGACTCCAGGAGGAGCCCGCCGCTCCGGAAGTCTCCGCCCCCAGGGGCGGGCCAGGTGCAGGGGGCGGGGCCAGGCTGCCGGCTCGGCCACCACTGGGTTCTGAAGGCTAACTTGGACACCAGCGCCCGGCGCGGGCGTCAGGGAGTGTGGCGCGATCGCCACTCTGGGTGGACCAAGTGATGCCACCGGCAGTTTATGATTAACCAAGGCATGTGTACAAATGGCGTATCCTGGATAAACATCACCTAAAACCTCTTCCCTACACCCAGTCTGCAGTATGCAGTGTAGTCTAGTCTCAGCTGGGCCTTCGACGCCCTCCACTGACCGGCTCAGCCGGGCCGCTCCAGCCCCAGAAACTTCTTTGGGGCCCTCCAACTGGCCCCTTAAGCCTGAACGCTGCCCCTTTCTCCGGCCTTTTTAAAACTTAGACCTAGCCCCGGCCTAGCCCACATGCCCCACCAAACCCTCTGCCTCACTCTCGCCACCCTCTCTGAGCGTGTCAGTTCTGTTCTTGGTTCTCTGAGTCATCAGACCAGGAGCTGAGGAAGGGGGCTACCTGTCATCTATGGAGTGCCTAGCAAGGGCAAGGGACCAGTGAATGAAAACAGAAATGAAGAGCAAGCCCTGAGGTACTTGGGAGTAAGTGGTGAGACAGAGCCTCAAGCTGTCGCCCTGGGAAGAGTGCTGTGGCATCACAGCTCACAGCAACCTCCAACTCCTGGGCTCAAGCGATTCTCCTGCCTCCGCCTCCCAAGTAGTTGGGACTACAGGCGCTCGGCTGTTTTTTTGGTTACAGTCATCATTGTTGTTTGGAGGCCTGGGCCGGATTCGAACCCACCAGCTTAATTGTATGTGGCTGGCACCTTAGCCACTTGAGCCACAGTAGCGAGACCCAAAAACTATTTGTATTCTTTTTCTCTCTGTCCCTTCATATCTCTCTCTCTCTCTCTCCTTCTCTCCCCTCCCCACCCCCTTCCTCCTTCTCCTCCTCTTCTCCTGGATAAAATTACTTTCTGCAATGAGTTTTTTCAACAATGGGTGAGTTCCTGGTGATCAGAATACTGGAACCCTCTTCTATTGTTCTTGGCTTTTCAGGACTTAGCAGAAACAGGGGTTGACCACCTCCCACCCCAGCTTAACATTCTGCTACAATGGCATTCCCCAGTGTACCCTGGGAAAGCAACATAAGGAATGATACTCACTGGGGTTCCTTTTTGGATAGTCAGATGTACCCAGTTCTCTTAAAGGCTCTGAATAGTTCTGTAGATAAAAGGCTATTACTTTTTTTTAAACCCAGTGTTTCCCAAATAATTTCACCAGAGAACTCTTTTCCTCAAAACACTTCTCTAGCCAGGTGAGCTGAAGCTAAAGAAATGATAAGGACACAGGGAAGTCTCCCTGAACCTGAAGCAGAATGTGGCTGGTTCTCAGGATGCACAGACCAGGAAGTTAACCGTCAGAACTCTGCCTCTGGTCCTTGTTTCTCTTCCTGATGACCTGCCTCTTTGGCCTTTCTGGCTGAGTGCAGAACACAGCACCTCCCCCCTCCGCAGCATCCAGGGTTGCAGGGCACAGGTCTCACCAAACCAGAGTTAATACCTCGATCCCTCCTTTGTCCCAATTCCAAATGCCTTGGAGAGAGGATCCCTTGTTTCTATCATCCCCTTCCCTCTCACATCACCAGGTCCACACCTCATCCCCGCCTGGGTTAGTATGTTTGGGGGAATTGCCAGAGAAAGGAAGGCTGTTGGTTTATGAAGTGGATGGACCCCCACAAATACAGGTGCCCAGCACGACACCTGTTGACATCGTGTGAACATTGCTCTCACCAGCTGCATTGCCTTTTCTGTTCCTTGAGCACGTCAAGCTGGTTTGTCTTGAACTTGCTGTCTTCTATACCTGACATGTTCCTCCTCTACATCTTCTCCAAAGTGTGTTAGGGTGGTGGGATTATGATTTGATTTTCTTTTTTCCCCTTTTCTAATCCTTACTTATAATGCCATTAAATTACTCTTATGAATTAAATATATAAGAACATGGAAAACATGGCATCTAAAACTTACCACTCTACTTGAGATTGAATTGCTACCTAGAACACTGGAGAGCTTTATTTCCCTGGATGTGGACACACTACCTCCAGCCAGCAAAAACATTTTATGTACTGTTTAATTACAGCAAAACCTGGGGGAGAATGAAGCCTCTCAGAGCTTTTGCCTGAACTCATCTGACAGTTCATAATATTACATGCCAGCTTTTCAGAGAACAGTAGCTCAGACATTTGTTGGCCATTGTTGTGGGTTAAATTTGTGTCCTCCCAAAAGCTATCTTGAATTCCTGACCTTGGAGTCTGTGAAAGTGATCTTATTTGGAAATAGGGTTTTTGCAGATGTAAGCAATTTAAAATGAGATCATAATGGATTAGAGTGAACCTTAAATCCAATGACTGGTATCCCTATAAAAACAGAGAGATTTGGAGTTAGAGACACGGAGGAGACACAGAAAGAAGAAGGCCATGCAAAAACAGTAGAAACTGGAGGGACACAGCTACAAAGAATACCAAGGATCGTTGCAAACACCAGATGCTAGGAAGAATCAAGGGAGGATTAGTCACTAGAGCAGTGATTTGGTGTGCCTTCCTTGAGAGGATCTTACATGTGCCTCAAAAATGTTTAAAGATCATTAATTAAATCATTTTTAAAAGACGTTCGAAGTGCAGTAAGTATGTTCTTTTTTTTTTTTTTTGAGACAAAGTCTCACTCTGTTGCCCTGGGTAGAATGCCCTGGCATCATACCTCACTGCAACCTCAAATTCTTGGACTTGAGCAATCTTCTTGCCTCAGCCTCCCCAAGTAGCTGTAACTATAGGCATGCACCACTACGCCCAGCTAGTTTTTTTATTTTTAGTAGAGATGGGTTCTTGCTTTTGCTCAGGTTGGTTTTCAAACTCCTGAGCTTAAGCAATCCACCCATCTCAGCCTCCCAAAGTGCTAGGATTACAGGCATGAGTCACCTTTTACTCTTTTTTTTTTTTTTGTAAATCAACATAATTTAAGTGTGCTGCAGAAGTTTAACTATAGATTCAAGTGTGTCCTGAGATTTAAAAAAAGGTTGAAAAACACTGCCACAGAGGCTTCAAAGAGAACGTGGCCTGGGCAGCCTCTTGATTTCAGACTGCTAGACTCCATAACTGTGAGAGAACAAATTGCTGTTCCAGTTTGTTTCACTTTTACAGCCGCCCTTGAAACAAATATGGCCTCCTGAGTGCCAGGCACTGTTGTGGGCACAAGAGATTCCAGGTAAACAGAATGGACCAGGTCCTTGCTCTCACACAGCTGACATCCTGGTGGTAAAGACAGACAACAAACATTTAAACAAAGAACAAGAAAGTCAGAGGTAAGGAAGGTAGTGTGGCAAGTGGGATAAAAGAGGGTGAGGGCTGTTTTAGCCAGGATGATTTGGAAATCTGAGTCAAAGCTAAAGAAAAAGACTTAATGTGTACATACAATTTTATCTTCTTTAAAATGTGGTATCTCATAAAATCATCCCTTCTTAGGAATATCAATGTTCTCCACTATGTAGGTGTTACAAATTTCAGGTTTGCATTTGCATAGGGAGCCAGCTGCTAATTTTCTACATGTCTATTTTTTGTATCTGATACATCTTTGTGCCTAGGTCTGAGCTAGGCCTATAGGAGAAGCCTAGAGAGCCCTGGGTAAGAACACAGTCTTTGTCATTCATTTGCCTGGATTTCAATCTACTTTTTAAATTTTTTTTTATTGCTTCTCTCTCAAGCCATATGATTCTGGGTTTCCATCTAGAGCAGTGGTTCTCAACCTCCCTAATGCCTCCTAATACTGCGACCCTTTAATACAGTTCTTCATGTTGTGGTGACCCCCAACCATAAAATTATTTTTGTTGCTACTTCATGACTATTATTTTGCTACTGTTATGAATCATAATGTAAATATCTGATATGCAGGATGTATTTTCATTGTTACAAAGGGGTCACGACCCACAGGTTGAGAACCGCTGATCTAGAGGCTAGATTCTAGACTCTAGCACTTACTGACTCTGGGATTCTGGGAAAGATCCTTGGTTTTCTACAGTTCCATTTCCTCATCTGTAAAATGGAAATCAGAATACTTGAATCATAGGGTGGTTGTGAGGATTGAGTGAGACCCAGTATGTGAAAAACTGTATGAGCATATGGGGAAGTTGTTGAGGAAGAACTTAGTTTTATCTATATTGTTTGACTTTTTAGAACAAGAATGTATTTGTGTATTATCTATTACATAGTAGATAATAATTGTTAAATAAAATGTAAACAATTTTATTGCTGCAACATACATATCACATAATATTTACCATCCAAACCATGTTTAAGTGGACAACTCTGTGGTCTCGAGTACACTCATACCGTCGTGCAACCATCACTACCATCTCCAGAACTCTTTGCATTTCGCAAAACGGAAACCTTTTACTCGTTAACCAATCACTGCCATTCCCGTCCCTTCCACTTCTGGAAACCATCATTCTATTTTTTGTCTCTATGATTTTGACAACTCTAAGGACTTCATGTAAGTGGAATGATACAGTGTTTGTCTTTGTTATACTGGATTATTTTACTTAGCACAAATGTCCCGAAGGTTCATGCAGCAGCGTCAGAATTTCCTTCCTTTTCAAGGCCAGTATCTCAGTGTATGTACACGCTCCACTTTGTTTGTGGAGTCATCTGTCAATGAACACTTGGCTTTCTTCCACATCTATTATAAATAATGGCGTTATGAACATGGGTATACAAGTTTCCCTGAAACCATGCTTCTAATCCTTTGGGGTATATGCTGAGAGGTGGAACTGGCGGATCATATGGTAATTGTGTTTAAATTTTGAAGACCTGTCCTACTGTTTTCTGCAGCAGCTATCCCCTTTTACATTCCCATCAGCAGTGCACAAGGCTTC